AAAAAAAACCACAAAAAAGAGAAACAAACCCAAAAACAAACAGGAAAACTGTGTTGTGGAGGAAAACAGGCAAACTGGAAGAAAAAAGGGAAACTGTGGAGGAAAATGGAAAACAATCTGGGTGTGCAGGAAAATAGGGAAACAATCTGGGTGTGCAGGAGAATGGGAAAACTGTATGTGCAGGAAAACAGGGAAACAATCTGGGTGTGCAGGAAAATGGAAAAAAAAATCTGTGGTACAGGAAAACAATGTGTGTGTGCAAAGTGTGCCAGCACAGAAATGGAGYCAGGCACCCTTCAGGGCACAGACACAGCGTGGGCATGTTCATCCCCCAAAACTGAGCTTCACCTGCTGCTCACGGAATCCCACAGCGCTTTGGGTTCAGAAGGAGCCTGGCTGGCAGCAGCTGCTGTGGGGTTTCAGCCCCGTTTCCCACCTCTGGAAGCAKCTGGGTGCCTCAGGGTGGTCCCTGCAATCGCACACGGAGAGCAAACATGGCTCTGACACCTGAGAAAGTGACACTGGAATAAAACCCACACTCCCCACAGCTCCAGCTTCACGTTTAGGGCTGGCACAATAGGGCAYTATTGGGATGTGAGAGGCCCCTGCCCCAAAAACAAGGATCCCATTAATGGGAGGTCCCATTTATGGCCCRGCAGAGCTGAATGTAAAACCGGCCCTTTGGTGATGCTTCTGTGATCTCGGCAGCACCTTCCCTTCCTTCCTGAGCAGCACMAAGCTGGGCTGGGTGGCCTCGAATTGCTCCTGGAATTGCTCCTGGAATTCCTCTAGAATCCCTTCAGGATTGCTGAGCCCATCAGAAGTTATCCATCCTGCTCCACTCTCCTCATCCCACCTCATCCACACAGAGTTTTCGCAGCAAAAGAACCATCCCTGTTGGAGAAARGAGCATCTCGGGGTCTTTCTTTTCCTTCTGCCATCTCTCCATCAAATTGAATTCAAATTAAATGAAATCAAATTAATAATAAAGCATCCTGCAAACGGTTAAGGGATGCTGGTGTGCCTTTAGGAGGGTGTGATGAGATCAAGCTGCCGGCACTGAGTGTCCCTGGATCCCTGGGAGTGACCAAGGCCAGGCTGGACATTGGGGTTTGGAGCAGCCTGGGACAGTGGGAGGTGTCCCTGGGATTTAGGGTCTCTTCCAAACCAAATTTTCTGGGATTGTGTGAAATTTTGTGGCTGGAGCTGGGCTGGGTGGTGGCCTATGACACCCATCCCTGTGACACCCATCCCCCTGCGACACCCATGTCCCCACAGCCACACCCTCCCCACTCCCTCATCTCTGATGCTCCTCACTGACCAAAAAAATGCCCAAAAAAAGGGAAAACAGGGAGGACAAAGCCCACCTTGCACTTGAGCTGCAGAGAGCAGCCAAACCCTCCCATTCCCAGCCCATTCCTGGTCTGTGGGACCAGCAGGACATAAAACCCCAAAACCTCCGCCTCACAAATCATAAATCTGGGGGAGATTTCTCTGCCTATTCCCCTCCCTGGCTCTGTGGGTTTGGGCAGGAGCAGGGTGGGAGCCAATCCCTTTTTTCATCACATTAAATGAAGGCATAAACCATCCCTCTTAATTCCTTTTAATTAAATTCCTCCCTGGCGGACGGAAACGCTGCTCCTGCATGTTTTTTCACCAAACAGGGCCTCGGTGCAAATCCAGGGAGTTGTGGGGCTCTCCAGGAGATGAAGGGAACTCCAAGGCTGGCAGATCCCAAATCCGTCCCTTCAGCTGGACTGGCTCACCTCCACGAGGGTAAATCTGGGAAGAGGGAAGAGCACAAATCCATCTGAGGCAGAGTCCAGACATTTTAAAGAAGTGAAATCTGAGTGCCGACCCATCCCTTTGGACACTCCATTCCCAAAAATCCTTGAAAACATTTTTACCCAGCCACGGTCCTGCCCTCCCCCTCTGCAGCAACAGGCTGTGGTGGCTGCTTCCCCAGTGCTTTGG